AGCACAGCTGCAATAGACACTTGTGATGAGTACTGTCACATTGTTAGACACACTTTGTGGTGATAACTGGTCCCCATTTAGACACACTTTGTGGTGATAACTGGTCCCTTGTTAGACACACTTTGTGGTGATAACTGGTCCCTTGTTAGACACACTTTGTGGTGATAACTGGTCCCTTGTTAGACACACTTTGTGGTGATAACTGGTCCCTTGTTAGACACACTTTGTGGTGATAACTGGTCCCTTGTTAGACACACATTGTGGTGATAACTGGTCCCTTGTTAGACACACTTTGTGGTGATAACTGGTCCCCATTTAGACACACTTTGTGGTGATAACTGGTCCCTTGTTAGACACACTTTGTGGTGATAACTGGTCCCTTGTTAGACAGTTTATAGTAAATACCGGCACCTTGTTAGACAGTTTATGGTAAATACCGGCACCTTGTTCCTTGAAAAAAGCCAGGTGGATCACTCGTCTGTTTACAGTGAAATTGATGCTCAACCATAAATAAAACCAGCAATTTGTGTGTGGTCAGTTTACGTCTCTGCATTTACTTGGCAGCTTGAATAAACTACAAGAAAGAGGCAGTCAGTGTTTCTCACAGTCGTGGGATTAGAAGAGAGGCATTGGACAGCATTGTGATGACTGGAAAGATCAGCGGTGGCAGAGGCAGACCAAGAGAAACACTGCTTGGTGACCTGAGGCGGTCACATGGAAACAAGATCATCAGTGGAAGTGATTCAGAATACCAAGGACTGAGATCTGTGGAGATAGATGAGCGCCTATGCCATCTGTCAGGGCACATCAGGATAATCTGACAACATGAATAAAGATATGAATTCACCATTCGTCTTTTATATTTGCATGGTTTTTTTTTTCTTGCAGCAAAAGTATGTCAAATGTCCTACTGACATGTGCACTGAAGCGCTCAGTTTTGGTAAGTAATAATTATCCATTTAAAAAATAAATAGATTACAATCTCTAATCTGTAACATGTTTAAAAACACACAATGCCATGATGATATTTTTACTCTCTTTCTGAAATTGGATGTGGCTGGCCGAAAGGCGCACTTGTTGCAATGTGGTTATAAATACAGCAAAGCTTATTATGATTTCGTTAACCCTATCAGTACCAAGGAACTCACCTTACGTTCATTGGTTGCACTTTATGTAGTGCATATTTTTTTTACTTTTCCTACCCTTTTCTTCTGTTAGGTGAATCCCTGTTTTGTCCGGTTGATACTATAATTTCGTAATGCCGGGTTCGATCCCAGCTGCGGGCCATGCGCCTTGCGTTGGTTTCGACAGTGGTATCAAGAGAGCCGACAGTCCACAAAGCAATGGCAAACTACTGGACGTAAATTTGCCTAGAAACACCACACAACAGCCAGGGGCTGTTGGGGTTGGTTCTGCAACGTCCTGTAAAGGATACGCAATTAACCTGACACTATAATAGCTTCTCTACCAAAGCTGTCTTTTTCAGTCTGTGAGACTAAGAACTTGTTGCTCTAGGACAAGGCTTTTCAACAAAGCTTACTCATGGGCCAGAATTGTGAAAATGGGCATCGTCACACGCCAGAGGCCTGAGCCACATGCATAAAAATATCATTAATACAAAAACCGCTGGCAATGATTAGCAGGCCACTTTCTAGGCATCTGCCAGCCAAATCTGGTCTGTGGGCTGCCAGTTGAATAGCCCTGCTTGAGGATATAAAAACTTTAACAAAGACACTCGTGAGTTCAACATGTCTGGTATGGAATGAGTTGAATGGCTAACCTTTTTATGGGATGGAATAAGGTAGCTAAGCCCAACCCTAAGTCACCTGTTATGACATGCCTGGGAAGGTACAGTGTTACTGTTCTTTGCTTCCCATAAGGGCCTCGATAGGACACAGGCACCTGTGAAGAATGGATGGAACTAGTGTGATAGAATCAGAGCTTTGTGAGAGAACCAAATTCCAGTACACCATGAGATGAAAAGATGCTTGGGTTGTTTAGGGCACACATTGAGAGAACCTGAGAACAGTATAATGATTTATTTGCAGTGGAACACATAGGGGCACAGTGTCTGTCCACTCTGGCAAAGTTCTGAATCCACAAATTCTTGTACACATGGCTGTTGTATCTGGTACCCAAACTAAATTTACTAGTCTGTTTCTTTCGTGTGAGGGGGGTTGATTGTCATGGATGGGAAGTGTTCCAGTTGGCCTAATGGCTGCTTTGACCTTACTATAATTTTCCTTATAAGTGCATCCTTACCTGACAGTTCTATATGACTTCCGGTTTACAGAAGAATTTGATTTTTCGCAGATGAGCTTAGAAAAACATTACCCTCCTTTGTGGTGGATATTCTGGAGAAGAAACTGGATAATGAATATTTAAGTTACATCACTAAATGGATGTTCACGGATGAACAGCTGAAGACAAGGTGAGTGCTAGAATCTCAAGTGAAGATAGTGAATGTGTACATCATTCATGTCGCTTGGTAAAACAGTTGTTTGTGGGACTTTTAAAGACTAAAGTAACAAGATAATTGCAGTTTTACAGGCGAAAATGTACCCTAAAGTTACAATGGACAGGTAACATCTTCTGCATGAGGCCTTTGGGGATAGCACAAGGGAACGGCTGAAAAGAGACGGCTCTTGGGTGGCACAGACAGAAGTCGCAGTCAGAACTGTTTGTGCTATTGATAAGATAGGGTGTGGTGAAGAATAGTTTACAGTGCCGCCTAGCAAAAGAGATTTGCACAGTGTGATAGTTACCTTGGACCGAAGGTGCCAGGAATGGATAGCAGGTGAAACAGAGTCCGCGGTGCAAGAGCTGATCAGTGAAAATTCATGCCCAGGTGACATCATTATATACACAGATGGGTCTATGGTGAGAGGTAGGAAGAGTGGGTTGGGTTTTATTGCAAAGGCAAAGACTGCTTGAAAACAGAGGCCTCACATACAACGTCACTACATCCAGCATGAGAATGGAAGGGTAGGATGTAAGGGCAACTTTCCAATCGCTTGACAATAGCACAACCCAACATGTTGTGATATTGTAACAGACTCACAGAGCATGCTTCAGAAAGTTGAAACTGGTGTCCTGTGATCAGAGTGGCTTGTATAACTTGATTAAGACCCAGTTCAAGAGCGTATCGTGGATATTCCCCCCCCCCCCCCCCAGGATCTTCAGGTGGGCGAGGTAATTGGGGGGGGGGGGGTATGGCAGAGAAGCAAAGTCCAAATGGCCGAAAAACCAGGACTTTCCACTGGAGCTTGCAGCAGGTGAACAAAGAAGAAGTAGACGAACATGTGTACACAATGTATACCTCTCCCAGTTAATAATGGTGAAAAAAGTAAAACATTCAACTGATATGCTTCTTTTTCTTGGCTTGTTCTTAGAAGGGCGGTTGATATGTCATGTTTTTACAACTTTTCTGTATCATCTGCACTTTTCAGCTCAACACTTTCAGTTTTAGCAAACTCTTAATTGGTGCCCTTTTATGGAGTGCTTGTTAAGGGGTGGGTGGGTCTGTTTATTTATTTCCTGAAATTGGATCTCAGAAATCAAATCGGAAGGGGAAAAAATGTAGAATTTATTCTTGCATTAGTGGGGAAACATTTATTGTAACCACACCTTTTAGCTAATTGTAAATTAACAAACTCCCTTACCCTTTAAGGGCTTGAAGCTTACCTGTTGACCCAGAGGTCTTGGGTTCAAGTCTGCACCTGGTGGGATTTGATTTTTTAAAAAAATGTTCCTTAGTTACAGGTCGATTCAGCCTAAAATGGGTACCAGGTTATGTCCTTGGAAGTAAAGGTGGCTAGTCGGCAGATTGGTCCATAAAAATATGAGTAGCATCATCTGTCCAATGCAGCAGTAGCATGAAATGGGTAATTTATTTTACTACTTGTTACTTTAGAAAAATGTTTTGGAATGGAACGCTGCACTTGCTGCTGAAGATGGGGACGGACTGCTTATGGGAATGTCCAGAGTGCTGTGATGTTGATTTTTAATTCATCGTTCTTTAAAAAGTGTATCTGGTCATTTACTTGTTGTTTGATCCAGATATGTTAACTTTGAAACAGGTCTGAGTTTGCCACTTTGGACACGAAAGTTACCCCAGCGCCGACATTAAGCATGAGAAAGTATGAAGAAATCTACTCTCAAGAATCTTGTGATGTTGCTGCTGACCTGCCTGCTTTTTGGGCACCAATGGAGCATGGCGCAGTGAGTATTTTTAGATTTTATCAATTCCACATCATGTGTATGTTTAGGGGTCATGAGTTCAAATCCCTATATGATTTAATCGTTTTGGTATTTTTGGGTGTAAATTGCTTTGTTTGCATTTCTAGGTCAACTCAGCTTGAAGTGGATACTAGAAATACTCTGGGAAGTAAAAGCAGCCAGCATGGTGTTGACTTTATCACCTATTGAGTGCCCATTTGCTGGTCTATAAAATTATGGACGCACTATTTATCTAGAATGTTCAGCAAAGGGAAGGAAAAGATACACAAAAAAGGCAACCAAACTGTAGTAAACACTCCAAAAAAAAAACCATGATTAGGCAGCACTACTATGTTAATATCTTCTGCTTTGCATTCATAGGCTGTGAACTCTGGCAGAAAATTCTGGTTGTTCGCCCACTTCTGGACTTAGTCTTCTTCCAGAACTTGGATTTGGCATGCACATCCAGTTTACAGATCTGGTTTACTTTTGTACAAACTGTTGGTTCCTCACAACTCAGGCTGGTGTGCTTCGACTTTTGAGGAAATCTCTGATTAGTTGCGTTTTACAACATGCTCGTTACAGAGGCAGAGGTTCCACTCCCCCTTTCCTTCCCCATGGGGCTTCGGAACCCACACAGCAAGAAGTGTATTTGTGTACCTCATTTTCCTTTTCTTTTGTTGAGCTTTCTAGTCTCGTTTGTTTTGTATTAAGGTACTTCTTGCTAACAGTTTGACTGTAGTAACTTTACTTGTGTCATCACTCTTGATTTTCAGCCAGTGATGGCATTTGAGGTGGTGCCCGACACGGAAGAGTACAGGGCACTGGCCTGCCAGTTCTACGAAACATGCCCTTTTGGAGACTATGACATAGCCAGGATAATTCGGGTACAGAATCCAATTCTGTGGAAGTATTTTGCACTGTGAGTACATGTGTGTGCTGACATTCCACGAATGCCTTTGCGTACTATAAAATTTAATTTACTGATCATCCTCACTGTCCATAAGTGCTCTGATCCCATCTTCAGTGTATCCCCCAGAGTGTGGCGACTCATGACACCAGTGCCGTGTAGGTATACTATTCTTCTTTCGCTGCCTGTTTAGTGTTCATGTTGGGCAATACCTCTTTTATCATGAAGTTCTTAAAGTCTTTTTAAGGTTTCTGATACACCTTTTTTTTTTTCTGAATCATTTACTCATCCTGCCTCCTTGAGAGCAATCAGAACATCAGCTTTTCCTGTACCTACCATGACTCTGCCAGCAAGACAGTCTGCTTATTCATTCCATTTTGCACCTGAACATCCTGGCACAACAATAAAACTGATTCTGACATAGGAGATTTCCTCAGTGACTCCAACCATTGTCTTTGAATCCATCCAGCTTTTATCTTAAGCTTGTTCATAGAATCAGCTAGAAAGAGGCATAGGAACAACAGGTCCTTGCATGTGTTACTGCCATCACCTCCATAGACTACCTTCAGTCAAGGCAAAAGCAGCACTATCTTCCTTTGCAGTCTTTCCTCCAACCAGAGCTGCGAAAGCCCAAGGGCTTTGTACATGTCAAATGATTTATCCATCGGTGTAACTAAATGCATCTTAATCAACAGTGTCTAGACATGATATAATGATTCAAAGTCTGTTTTGCCAGAGGTGAAATGTTAGAACTTATTTCACTAGCTGTTCATTGAATATTTCTTGTGTTTTATTTGTAAGTATTTATAAGTGAACTGAAGATAAAATAAAGATGCGGTTTGTTTTAGAAGAATATTGAAATTGCTATAGGCAGAAAATCAAACAAACACTGCAGAGACCTACTGGTGTGGCAGGATCACTCTTCTAAACTTTAAAGAAATGACCAGTAATTATTAGGGCACAAAGTAATTACTATAACTGAGGATATACTCACCCTTTTTTTGTGTGGCTTTTGGGGCCCCCATTTTGGGGCAACAAGAATAGCTACTGCCTCCCTAAAAGCATGTTGTAACAGTCGACTCATTGGGAACTTCCCTTCAGAGTTGGAGTGCATCTGCCTGAGAGGCTAGGAACCAACAGTCTGTATACACATGAGTCAAATCTGAAAACAGATGTGCACGCAACACTCAGGTTCTGGAACAGGACTAGAGTCCAGAATTGGATGAAAAATCAGAACTTTCCGCTGGAGTTTACAGCCAGTGAATGCTAAGAAGGAGAATCAGCAGTTGCCTTTTACAGAATGTCACTCTCATCAAGGCATGCCTAAATGTCTTCTCCTTCTCTTGCCATTTCTTCTGCCCTGTGTTTTCGTAGTGAATGTATCTTCAACGGTTTTTTTTTATCAACCTTGGCAGTGGTATGCATCTACTTCACTGTGCAGAAACGGCACCCTCCATCACCATTCTCTCCATGCCACCATGATGATTAACATTTTATGGCCATCATACCTTAGCTTTCAGTGCAGGATTCTGTTTAAAGTCAGTTCTCCTGGATGCTCAAAGCTTGTAGGATATTGGTGTTGTTCCTTTTTTAAGTCCTCCTCTTCGTCACTTTTTATTTGATTGCTCTCAGTGTCGAGGGAAATACGGGGTTCTGGCCATTGCTTTTCTGACTGGCTCAGTCATAAACCTGCTTTTTATGACATGCTTGTTAAATGACAGTGGGCCCATTGCCCCCCCCCCCCCCAAATCCCAAATGGGGCCCTGGAACCCACACAGGGAAACTGTTTAGTTTGAAAATTTGTAATTTTTCTTGTACACTTTCAGGAAACAGAGTGAAATGATCCAGGAAAATGATGGCATGGATGTTGTGGTCAAACAGTTGTATCACGGCACGCACCACTCAACACTGGAAGCTATTGCCAGGAAAGGATTCGACTGGAGGCTCAGTGGCAAGCATGGCACAGTTTATGGCAATGGTCAGTCTACAGTATCTACAAAGATACAGAAGTTATTTTGAAAATACTGATCAGGGTTCATCATACCTTTATCTTATTTTTTTGTTTTCTTTTACATTTATGTATTTATTTTCCATTTATAATCTCCCCCTCCACTTCTTGTTCCTTCTTTTATGTTTTATTTCATATTAGCTCTTCTTCCCTATTTTTCACATTTATCTATCTGTGTGACCTTACCCTATTTTGTGTGATTCGGTTGTTTTGTCCGTTCATAAAGATTTCATCATGGTGGCATTCATTTATATTTGAATAGATCTTCTTTCCATGAGATTTTCTAGCATCAGATTGGGTTGTGTTAAGTGACTTCTCCATAAATTAGACAATGGCAGCTAAATTAATTTTCTCTTATAATGTCAACATGGCAGTGGCTCTTATGAATGTCTGTCAACAAACTGCAGGTATGCGAGATAATAAATATGCAGATTATTTGGCTACAAAAACGACAGCTCCAGGAACACTAATATTGGACAGAGGAGTCATTCTGAAGATGATTTATCAATGAACGTTTATGGAAGCTAGGAAGCTAGATGAAAGATTTTGTATAAGGATGTGTGAATTTGGACTTAAGTTTGGACCCCCCCAACCCCTTCCCCCAAAAATAAATTCTTTGAGAGAAGGAGCACGACCTGTGTATAACCAATATGCTACTGAAATGGTCACCATCTACACCTTAAAATCTTTTTTTTTTTTTGGTAGATTCATTTTTTAATTTATATATTTATATACAAAATTCTAAATTTATTCAAACACAGTCATGTTAAAATCCTGACCTGCACAGTCCATGCTGGCTAAAATCCTCGGGCTTAAAGACCCCACTGCCTATACAGTGAAAGTGGTAATGACAGGCGGAAATGGCAGGAAAAGACCCCACTGCCTATACAGTGAAAGTGATAATGACAGGCGGAAATGGCAGGAAAAGACCCCACTGCCCACACAGTGAAAGTGATAATGACAGGCGGAAATGGCAGGAAAAGACCCCACTGCCCACACAGTGAAAGTGATAATGACAGGCGGAAATGTGGGGGGAAAAAAACACAGTTGTGTCTTCTTCTGGAACACCGTCATAACTCTCCAGATCCTGAATTTCTTGAGACTCCATCTCCTATAGAACCATGTCTGCTAATTATCAAGTGCGCACCGGTGGCATATGTACTGTGACTGGCCATTCGGCAACAAGACTCATTCTTGCTGGCAATCTTAACTACGGCATATTTTTGTAAAATGTGAAGGTAGAGTTGGGAGATGTGGACCAGCGCCATTGCACATGGTTATAAACCATAAGTGCTCTGCCACCAGTACAAACAGCTGATAAGGGACTGTCCGCCTGTGTTGCCGTCCACACGCAACTCTGTAGATACAGCAACATTCCTCCATTTACCTCAGAGTGTTAACTCTGGTACCCGTTACCTAGAAGCTGGGTAAACCCCAGGAACCACCCAGTTTCGAACACCAGCAGTGGGCTGCAGAGAGTCGCAGCTGGATTTGAAAGTGAGTCTTGTATCGACTGCGTTAACACAGCCCCAGTTATATGATAGAACTTTTATTAAAAGCTTCCTAAAAATCTTTCTGGGCTTCTTTTGGGGTAGGTGAAACACAGTATTCCCCACCATTTTGTCTCTTAGGTCTACAGCCTTATCAAAGTGAGTTACCAGACAATTTTCAGACTTATCTGAGAAGGAAATGTGTTGAGGAAATGAACTGGCCACGCCACCTCAGTTGTGTCCTCATTATTTACATTCTCAAGGGGAAAAGTTTTAAATATTAAACATTGTGTCTTTCTTTCTCCAATGCAGGCTCCTACTTTGCCAGGACAGCCAATTACTCTCATTCATACACTGACTGTGCTGGAAATGGGGTCAGCGTCAAAGCTGGAAGTAGATCAAGCTACATGTACCAACCTGGCACATCATCTTCATCGCTGAACCATTATTCCTTCAGTTCACTGAGGCAGTCATCACTCTGGAGTACATTTCCAGCTTTGCAGTCCCTCAGTCGTCCAGTATTCTTATGTTCTTCTCAGAGACAATCACTGCAATCAGGACTATCGCAGGACTCTAACACAACACCAGCTCACAGTCAAGCGCCGTACACCCAGGCACAACCTAGTCAGCCCACAGTTAAAGATGCTGTATGTGGGCTGGCACCATCGACTTGTAGAACATCATCATTTGGTTCCTCATTAGATTCTCTTCTTGGAGCTTCTTCTATGATATATATGAACTATAAAAGTTCATCCGGTGTGTCTCCAACAACACCTTCTCCCCAGAACCCGTCATCTCATTTTAGCAGCTGCCTTAAAAACCCAACCCTAGCCACCAGTGTGTTAGAACATTCACAGACTGCACCCTTGCCTGCTTTATCTTTATGGGATTCGCTGGAAGATTCTCTGAAAGATAAAACAGGCTTTCAGATCAAATCTGATCTAGGTCACACAGCCAGCTGTTCAGGAACAGCCGCAGCCCCACAGCGCAGAGAAAAAGGAACTGCCAATCTGGCAACAGCTTTTGCCCGTAGCCCTAATTCCAATACCCATTTCATGTTTATGGCTAAGGTCCTTGTGGGCCGTCACACGGGTGGGAAATCTGGTCTCAAGAGGCCGCCACCTTTGGATGAAAGCAATCCTTACGGAAAATGCTATGATTCATGTGTAGACAATATTTTCTCTCCACAAGTTTATGTGATATTTGACAGTAATCAAGCTTATCCAGAATATATCATTGAGTACAACTCACACAAAAGCTAAATGGCAGTTTCTTTGAATCTTGATTTCACAGAATTGCAGACGTGATATGAGTCAAGTTTATCTTATGACTGGTCTTGAAAATAAACCTTGTCAGTTATTAAAACTGAACTGTTTATTGGTAAACAGATCTTCTTCATTCAAAAGACCAATTTTGTTTTTGTAATTTATTAAGCTGTTGTATATTTTTGCTATTAATAATAATATTACTAGAAGTTGGCTACTAAATATAGACATTATTTATAGTTGTATGTGCTTTTTTGGACGAATAATTGTTGCTATTTCTGTTTATCTGTTTCAGTTCTAGTCTCCTTTAATCGGTGTTATAAATTATTTCATTGCTTTGAGTATCTTCTTCCTTCTAGGGCAGTGACTCTCAATCTTCTTAATGCTGCGACCCTGTAATACACTTCCTCCATGTTGTGGTGACCCTGTAATACAGTTCCTCCATGTTGTGGTGACCCTGTAATACACTTCCTCCATGTTGTGGTGACCCTGTAATACACTTCCTCCATGTTGTGGTGACCCTGTAATACAGTTCCTCCATGTTGTGGTGACCCTGTAATACAGTTCCTCCATGTTGTGGTGACCCTGTAATACACTTCCTCCATGTTGTGGTGACCCTGTAATACAGTTCCTCCATGTTGTGGTGACCCTGTAATACACTTCCTCCATGTTGTGGTGACCCTGTAATACAGTTCCACCATGTTGTGGTAACCCTGTAATACAGTTCCTCCATGTTGTGGTGACCCTGTAATACAGTTCCTCAATGTTGTGGTGACCCCAGACAATTATTTTCCTTCATAAATTCAATGAATATGTGATTTTTTTATGGTCTTAGGGTCATGTAAAAGGGTCCGACTGGCAGGTTGAGAAGCGCTGTTCTCGACCCATTAAAAAAAGGGTCACGACTGGCAGTTTGAGAAGCGCTGTTCTCGGTTGTCTTTGGTTACCTTATTAGTCTCTTTCCCAATGGATTCCTTCGCAGTACTTTTATGCATGGTTCTTCCACCCCCCCCCCACCCCAAATATGTGAAGTTTGGGTCCCATCTTGCGCTTACCCTCTGGTTCTGAACACCGGTCCTCATGGAACAGCTTCTTAGCAATCACTGACTGTAAACCCTAGCAGAAAGTTCTGGTTGTTCGTCTCCTTCTGGACTATGGTCTTGTTTCAGAACTTGGGTTTTTGTTTTACGGATCTGGCTAATTTATATGCAAATTACTGAATCCAGGTCTCTCAGGCAGATGAACTCTGATTTGGAAGGAAACACTTGGATGTTAGTTAACTTTTACAACATGCTTGTTAAAGGACAGTAAGTCTAAAGTGGCTCTATGCCCCCGCGACGAACCCACACTGGAAATTTGTACTCAGCGGGGAGAAATTATCGCCAGCATTGTTTTTCAACTTTCTCTTATGTCAACCAGTGTTTATAATGTTAGTTTTTATGTGCCCTACACCGCTTTAAAAATATTAATCATGGGAAATCATTTTAAAACAAAAAGGTATTTTGCAGACCCTCCCACCCTTCCTGTGCCGGCAGCTGTTTAGTTTTTCCATTTTTTTTTCATTTTCTATTTCACACTCATGGCTAGTATTGACCACATCACTCGCTGAGTGTTGATTGGTCTGTAAAACAATGTGGGTCTTGTCTAACACCACGTTCCCAATGTGCCAGAACTGCAGAAAAGAATCCTGTCTGTTTGTTTGTTTTGATTTAAACTTTCCTTTCCAAAACAATCTTAGGCATATTTGACAAACCATGTAAACTTAAACTAAAATTAAATTAGTTGTGTATCCTTTACAGGACGTTGCAGAACCAACCCCAGCACTTTCTGGCTGTTGTGGTTTTTCTATGCAGTTTACGTCCAGTAGTTTGCCATTGCTTTCTAGACTGTCCGTTCTGTATACCACTTTCAAAACCAGCGCAAGACAAACCATCCGCAGTAGGGATTGAACCCGGCACCCCGGCATTATGAAGCACATTCACAGCGCCTAAACTTGAGTGGTTTTAAAAAAAAGTTTTTGTGTGTGGCTCTAACTGGTAGTTCAGCCTGAATCACCATATTGTTTTAAGAGTCTCTGCGACAGTGGTTACATTGCTTTCTTTATGCTCTGAAGTTTTTGGTTTGAGTCTGGACTCTGTCCTTCAGTTTACAAGTACATGTGTTTTAAGAGATCCCAGGGGGATATGCTTGAGTTGCAAAGTCTGTGCTTTGTGGGTGACATACCACATTGTAGAGAGACTGAGCCATTTGGGATAAATCTTGGTGCAATAAAGTTGATTCCTTTGCTTTTAAACACCATATTGTTTAATCAATAAACTATTTTTAATAATTGCATAGCTTCATTACATTCTTTTTAAGAAACATATATAAATATATATAATTGTATAAATCCCCAGCTGCATAAACAGCACTGTTAGATAGTACACACATATATGTAGTGTTGTTAGGAAATTAATAGGTAGACAGATTGGCTGGCTCTGCATCAAATGTGTGGTGAATTTATGACAAGATAGATGTGGTCAAGGCCCTTTGGGAGCAAGTGAACAGTGCAGAGGCATGTATGGATCGTTATGGTACAGCTGGGAGTAGCCAGGGGATCTGGGCGACACTTGCCACTAAAAGGAAAAGCAAGAAGGACATATAATCAAGCTGCTGATACCCCATCAGCATTGAAACGCCTTGCTGGCTGCTAAAGGTGAGGATGGAGCACTTACGGGAAGGACCTGAGTCCTGTGATGTCAGTTCTTAGTTCAGTACAGCTGAACAATACAGCCACTCAAAGCAACACTTAACACAACCACTCAGTACAGCACTCAACACAACCACTTAACACAACCACTCAGTACAGCACTCAACACAACCACTTAACACAACACGACCAGTAAACACACAATATGCACTGCATGTGTTATATTTTCTTATTTTATAAAATCAATGTTGTACACACAATGACTTGTCGGCTTGAAGCAGAGGCAGCCACTGTGACACTTAATCCTTAATTAAGAATGATTGAGAAGCAGTTGGCCAAATGGTTGGTTTTCAAATCCTCAGTAAGAGGATGGAGGTTTATGGGTCGAATAGCTTCCCAAGCAGACTCAAGATCTGTCCTAAACTGCCTTAATATGTGGTATACACTGGCAGTCTTATTCTTCGTCACTTCCTCTTTTACCGCTTTGGGTGTCCTGAGAGATATAAGGTTCTGCTTTATTCCTCTTCTGCTTGAAGCTATACGTTTTGTTAGTTTTTTTTTTTTTAAATCTCTAAGTGTTTAAATTTGTCTAACCTAAAGCTGTTAGTTTAGTCAAAAAGCTGTTTTTATTTAATCCCTGAAAATTGGTTAGTTTGTCTAATTTAAAGCTATTAATTTTGTTAAAGTGTTTTTTTTTAATCCGTCATCGTGTTTAAATTTGTGTGACGTAAAGTTATAAGGTGTTTTTTTTCCTTCTAAATCCCTCAAAATGTTTACATTTGTCTGACTTACTCTTAGTTTTGTTAACAAGTTTTTATTTAACCCCTGATAGTGTTTAAATGTGTCTTACAGCTTTTAGTTTTGTCAAAAAAAGTGGTTTTATGTAATCCTTCAGAATGTTCACACATGTATATGTATGTATGTAAGTTATTATCCCCCCACCCCCCAGGACACCACACAAGCAATAAACACCCAGTGAGACTAAGTGCCACCATACGGATAAGGATCACCCGTGGAGAGATCCCAGAAACCCCGTTCAGCCGTTAGGCCTTAAGACCCAGCTATATTTAGGGCCCCCAATGAAAGCCAGGGTGGGGCTTCAAAATAACTAAAAACTGCATCCCTCAAGGGGATAACAATAAGTGCCTATTTTACGCTTGTTTGAATTACATACAGCTGTTAGTTTTGCCAGAAGGGGTTTTATTTAATCCCTCATAATGTTTTCATTAATCTGACTTAAAACTATTAGTTTTGTAAACATTTTTTTTGGGTGTATTCCTCAAAGTCTGACTTTGCCTGTCTTACCCCTTAGCTAGGACACTTGCAGCTGCTACAGGGTTTCTACAGGGAATTAGGAAATCCATATTTGATTCATGCAGGAGACTGAGCAGTTGAGGAGACACCTGAGTGCACTGAAGTGATCCCATAAAAATACTGAGACGCAACAAACCTTCTAGCATGAAGTACATTTGTATTCTGAAAACATAAAATCGTAACCATTTCACTAATTATAAAATTTTATTTAAAAAATTCACAGGCTTGCTTGTATGTTTTTAAAGTGGTGAACTTTTTGTTCATCCTCAACTTGAAATAATTTTCTTTTTTTTTTTGGTCTCAAGCCAAGTGCCTTTACTCCTCTTTGTCTCTGTCTCAAGTGAAGTGTCTTTACTCCTTTTTGTCTTTGTCTCAAGTGAAGTAAGTGTTTTTGCTCCTCTTTGTGTCTCAAGTAAAGTGTCTTTACTCCTCTCTGTCTCAAGTAAAGTGTCCTTACTCCTTTTTGTCTTTGTCTCAAGTGAAGTGTCTTTGCTCCTCTGTCTCAAGTGAAGTGTCTTTACTCCTCTTTGTGTCTCAAGTGAAGTGATTTTACTCCTTTGTCTTTATCTCAAGTAAAGTGTCTTCACTTCTCTTTGTCTGTGTCTCAAGTGAAGTGTCTTTACTCCTCTTAGTCTGTCTCAAGAGTGAAAAAATGTCCCTCTTGTTGGCCCTTTTCTGAAAGGGAAATAGCTCCTCCCCCCCCGTTTGTCCTAATCTTGAGTTAAGTGTGTATTTCTGTTTATCCATGACTCCTCAAAATGCAGCTTTCAACTGACTAGCCACGCACACATTTTTGTGATTGTAACTGACTCAGAGAGGATGTTGAGAAAAGTAGAGTCAGGTGTGCAGAGTGGCAAGCTTCACTTCTGAAGTCCCAGGTAGTTATTTTCTTCAAGTCACACTGGTGTGTTGGAAAATGAATAGCCTGATTGATTGGCTGGTTCTGCACTACTTGGTGGTCGGTAAATTGTTGCATGACAAGCTTGATAAATGT